CAGTCTTCTGGCATCATTATTGCTTATACTAGTTTTATAGGCTAAAGTATTCCAAAGCAACTAAATCCAGTGCCATAATTGCGAATAAAAGGAATCATCCAAGCCAATATATCGCTAGGCCATCTATAATTTTAGTCTTTATTTTTATAGTTTTACAAATTAGAAATTTTATTTTTAATGATGAAAATTAATCTAAATGATAGAAAATATAGGGAAAAACACTTAATGAAATTTGATATAAATTAGGAAAAAAAGTTGAAATGAAATTTATTAAGAAAAAAATTCAGACAAATAGTTTTTTTTCAGTCTTTTTTATTTTCTGAAAAAAATTTATTTATGAAATTTTTTTTAAAAAATTTTCTGTGAGATTTTTCCATGAAATTTTTTTTTAGAAAATTCTCAAAATTCATTTGATAAAGATAAAAAAAATCACCTGAAATTGAGGAAAACATTTTCTCATGCATTTTTCATGTGAATTTATTTGCATTTTATATTTGCAAGAAGCCAAAGTGATGTGAAAATTTTTGTTTAATATATTTAATTATCATTTTTAAATATTTAGCTATTATTTTTTTTTATTTTTATTTAGTACATTCAATTTCTTAAATTATTTTTTATTTATTTGAAATCTATTCTTTCTTGAATTTAGTCATCGCTTAGCAGTAATCATCACTTAGTTATTAATTTTTAAAATATTTTTAGCTAGCATTATTTTTTGTCATTTTTATTTTATATATTCAATTCAATTATTATTATTTTTTATTTATTTAAAATCTATTCGTTTTTGAATTTAGTTGCTTAGCAATTAAACCTAGTTGATCGTTTCCTGATTTTTTCCTGACTTTTTTTCCGCTATCACCTATAATCTTCATTATTTTTGCATGTGAATTGCTTTTTTTGTTTTATATTTCGCAAAATTTATGATATTATTTAATCAGCTTTATAGCTATTCATAGTAGTTCAATTAGTTACTCCACATCATGAGCCTAATTCATGCGATGCGATATCTTTTGCCTCATTTCGTATTTCCTATTCATTTCACTTTACTCATTTCATATTTATTTATTTCATTAGTTGAACTAATTATTAAAATAATGGAACTGTCAAGAATTGTTTCACAAATTTTGAGGTTATACTAATATGAATAAATATAAATTATATATAATAAATATAATATCAAGAATATAAATTAAATTTATGTAAGGCGAGAAATATATTTACAAAATATATTCGTCTATAGAGAACTCTCAAATATACTCATTTAATATAACTAGCTGATAAAATGATAATATGCTATTATGATAATATGATAAGATCATTATTGCTTTTTTACTAATACTAATATGAATAATCAAGGCGAGAAATATATTTACAGAATATATTCGTCTATAGAGAACTCTCAAATATACTCACTCACCTAAAAGCTAGCAATTCTCTTAAAATGGATTCTCTTAAAATAAACATTAAGAACAATTTATTATTATAAACAATAAGTAGACGGATAACTATCGTTTTATTTTTATTTTAAAAATAAAATTCTTTCTTTAGGAGGCGAAAAAGTTGAAAAAATGAGTAAATATAAGATTTAAAAATAAAAATGAACTGATAATTTTTCTACTGATAATTAAGCAAAAATTTGTTTCCTCGACATATTTTATATTATGTATATTTTATATTATGTCTTAGTGTTTCAATGGTTTATTTGTTTGTCGCATTGGGGTATTGCTTTATACAAAACAATAAATAGGCATAATATTGGTACCAATGTGAGTATACATGTTTGATATTGATATATTTGATGAACTTGTATTATATTTGTATATATTTGTATATATATATATATATATATATATATATTCCTTAAACGATCCAACAAGAAGCATAATGGCATCGTTTCTTATATTCATGCTTGACGAGGATAACGAGATATTTTCATTAAAAGTGAAATCCGATTAGATATAAAGAGGTCTGCCAAAAATAATTATTAATACATAAATTTATTTTAGAAGAAATAAATAATTTATCAACATTTAACTAAAATAATCAAACCAAAATAATAAAAGAAGAGAAAGAGAAAGAGAAGAAGAGAATAAAATAGTTTTCTTTTAAAAGCATTTATTTCTGATTTGCTTATCACCTCTCTGACTTATCCGAGCAAGCAAATTTTGCCGAGGAGAGAGGGAGAATTTGGTGATATGATAAGGCGTTATTGGAATTAGGATTTTTGAAAGATACATACATTCATCTCTGTATTGGAGTAAAAACTACGGTACTAGCGTTCTGAAATTAAAAACGCAACAATCGATTAAGCCATTCTATTTTGCTAAATGAATTATTTAGCTAATTATTTAAATAACTAAAAATTATGCGATTTTTCCCCATTGAATCCCATTTTTTCATTTTTGCAAATTTTGTTTTAACGATTTCATTTTAATTAAAAGCTAAAATATTAATTAATTCTGATAAAAAAAAGAGTTGACGCTTATTTTGTTATTTGTTAAACCGTGATGGTTAGCGTTAAAAGCGAGGAGAGCCCGTCAAAACCTGGACTTATACAGTCAGGAAAATTTTATTCATTTATTTATTGAAAACCAGCCAAGCACTGTGCAAACGCCATATGCTTGTATTAATAACAACAGTTAAAATAATAAATAAAATTTTGAACTATAGGGGACTAGCGATATATGGACTTAGACGATGGAAAAAAGAATGGCTTGTATTATTACTAGTGATGGCGTCGTACGGAACAGCTTGAAGACTTATTCTTTTAGCCAGCGAAGTCAGCCTAACCAGTAATGGTAAGAACTGGAAGAAGAGCTAAAAAATGGAAGAAAAAGATTTTTATTTCGATCGCTTTTTATAAATTTCTTTTTGAAATTTTTTTTGAATTTTCATTATTTAATTCACATATCATATCATTATAATGATAATATGTCAATATTTATCCAAATAAGTTATCATATCCACTTAAATTCGCTTCATTCGCTATTTGTATGATATTTAAATCAATTGACGATAGAAGTACAGTTGATTCGTAACTATCATCCGGATAATAAATTTTATTCATACTGAAAGCCGAAAGACCGATCCAAAATCGAGGCAATAATCTAAGTCAAAACCATTTTACAGTTGTCTCTTTGCTGTCATAATCAATTCATTTGTTGCGATATTTGTTAAAAGCGTTTTTCATTGGTTTTATAGAAAGGCGAAATTATGCCTAAGGCTAAAGATTTAAAGATTTAAATTTCAAAAAAGAGAAAACTAATTTTTCCTTTCCGATTTTTTATGAGCAGACTAAATGACTTTTTAAAGTTTTTTAACCGCAACGGAAACAATTGATATTTATTAAATTTGCTAATTTTAACAAAATCTCAAAAGCCATATTTTGCGATTAGAAAACTCAAAAAAGGCATTTTCGCGATTTCAAATTTTCAAATCTTTTAATTTATTCGAATTTATTGCCTTTCAATTTATTTTAGTGATAAAAATTGATAAATGATTTGCCTATTTTTATTATTCGTTCGTTTATAGAATGAGTTTACAAACATTTTGTACAACGCCGAATCTATTAAATGATACAAATGCGATATTTACAGCAAATGCTTTAAGAATACAAGAAATGAAAGCTTTATTCAAAACTTTACAGGTTTTAATCCTCGTTTTTTTTTTCTAATTTTAGCATTTAGCATTTTATATAAACATTAATAAATTATTTATGGAATTTTGGGATCATTTATAAACTTTTTTTTCATAATAATTTTGAAATTACTTCGATTTATATTATACATATATTTATATTATATAATTTATACATATATATATATATGTATTTATATATACATATATTTAATTGATATATTTAATATAATATTTGATTTATATTATATTATATATATTTAAATATAATATATATTTAATATATATATATTTATTTATATTATATGTTTATATATTATATGTTTATAAATATAAAATTAGCAAATTAGTTAAATAGTTTTGGAAGCAAATAAAGAAAGTTGTAAGTATTTTTTGTTTTCCATTCGTTTTCTTTCTTTTTTTCCATTTTCTTTCATTTCTTCCATTAATTATTCATAAATTTTTCTATATTTGAATTATTTTTTGTCGTCTTATCGGATTAAATCGATTTTTGTTTTTCTAAACTTTATTATTTTATTATTCTAAAAAAAAAGAAAAATTATATTTAATATCATAATTTTGATTAATTTACAAGATAAATTTATTATATAAATATTACTATTAAAATAATATATAAATATTATATAATATATTTTTTATATATATTATTATATTATATTATTATATTATTTAATACAATTAATTGTATAAAATTATGAAATGATTATAAAGCAAATTTTAAAAAAAAATATTAAAAAATAATAAAATAATATAATAATATATATAAAAAATATATTATATAATATTTATATATTATTTTAATAGTAATATTTATATAATAAATTTATCTTGTAAATTAATCAAAATATGATATTAAATATAATTTTTCTTTTTTTTTAGAAAAATAAAATAATAAAATAAAAAATATTATTATAATATATAGTATATATTTTAATATAATAATATATAATATTATATAATAATATATAATATAATATTTATAATAATAATACTATAATATAATATTTAAAATAATATAATAATATTATATAATACAATAATAATAATATATAATATTTAAAAAAATATTTTTATAAAATATTTAAAATAATATTTTTAAAAAAAAATTAAAAAAAATTAAATTAAAAATTAAAAAAAAATAATTATTAACATACAAATAAATATAGTAAGTTTTAAGTGCAATATTGTAATATTGTAAATAAAATATTTTATTTAATAATAATGAAATAACAATAAAAGAATGTTAGAAAAACCAAATTAGAAATAATTTTTAACAGTTTATAGAAATTTATTCGTTTACCAAATAATTCGATTTGATTTGATTTTAGATAATTGTTTGTGCTATTGGTATTGGCGGAAATATTCTAAATTTGGTGACATTACGTAGTCCAACATTACAAACGGTTCCATTTATGTATATACGATCAATTGCTATTTTTGATTTTGTTAGTTTTTTTCTTTTTTCTTTAAAAAATTTATGAATTTATGAATTTCTTTTAATATGAAAATTAGAGAAGAAAAAAAAAAGAATAAATATGATTTTCATTCGATTTAATAAGATTTATTTGAAAGCACATTTGTTACTTACTTTAAATAGATTCGATTCCTACTCCTTGGCTAGTGTGGAACTTTAATTTAATGGAACTCGAGTGATATTAGAGAAAATTCCTCTATAGCTTCCTCCTATTAGCAAGCGATTTTATCGTGAAAGAGTCTCACTGTAAAATAAAAGAAAATTTATCAAGTTTTATTTATCAAATCTATAATTGTTGTTAACAAGAAAAAGGTGAAATATAAGGAAAATAACTGAAATGACGAATATACTTATGATTCTTATGCAATGTTTCCAATTTTCAGATAGGTCTTTGCTTAATTTCACTTCATTTTGGCCTCGAATTAGTTCCTAAACCTTCCTATAGCCAAATGTTTTATACAACGTACGTCGAGGAATGCCTCATTAACGCATTTCTTGTTGCTAGTGTCTATTGCGCTCTCTTGCTAACTAGTGAAAGGTGCTTTTAATTTCGATTTCAATTTTATTTTTATAATAAAAATTCAACTTAATAATAAAAATTACTGTAATATTAATGTTTAAAAGGAATGAATTTTATGTAAATCGTTTGCCTAGCCAAGCGAGAAAAAAGAAAAAAAAAATTGGCTTTCTTTACTGAATCGAAAATTTATTTCAAATTTTTTTCTTCAATCTCCAATCGAAATTTTACACTTTACTTACATAATATTTAACGCTTTACATTTTAAAATAATAATAAAAGAATTTTTTTGGGAATTACCATTGAATTCTAAATAACAACGATAAACGATTGGCTAATCATATTGCTGCTTATCAAAAATGATAAAATTTATCACTTTAAAATTTCACATTTTGTTATTTACAAAACCAGATAATGCTTATTGCTCACCTATATTTCTATAACCCCTCTAGCGAAAATTTCCAGTGCAGTCAACTTATTCAAAAATTTTTAATTACCTATTTTACTCATTTACCAATGACTTTAAGATATTTGCTAATAACACATCCACATAAACGACGAACAACCGATCCAAAATATATGGCGCAAATGAAAATTGCAATTTTATTGTTATGTTGTGTTGTTCTTCACTTACCGATGGCAGCACAAAATAAATTGAGGAATAACAATGGTAAATGGCATAAAGGAAATAATATTGAATTTCTTTGCTCGTAAGTTTTATAAGTTTGAATGACAATGGAATTGCACGAATTGAAATTAATCAAATGAATTGATGTAGAAAAATTCAATGATCCATTCAAAATAATAATAAATAACCATAATTGATAAATAATACACAATAGCAGTGATAAGTATTGTTAATGATAATCGTACTAAAAATCTGATAATCTTAATTAATGATAAAAATAATTGGCAATTCGAATGAAATCAAATTTTTAATAAATTTTTGGAAATTTTTTAATTCCGTAAAATATTATTTATTTTTGTCGCATAGTTTATTAATAAATTATGATTCAATTAACTTTATTTCTATTATTAATAATTATTAATTTTAATAATTGTTAGTAATATTAATAAAATTAATTTTCTTAGTTTTCCTATTTTTTCCTATTTTAATATTTTATTCTCTCATTGAATTTTCTTTTTAATTTTTTTTTTCTTTTTTAACATTCAAAAATTCATTTAGCAATGATTTTTAGCGAACCCGTATTTACATTATATAATTATTATAAAATGTCACGAGAATTTCTACGATTTTTATCGATAATTATTATGGTTATTCTTAATATTATAATTGCAAGAAAATTGCAAATAACAAAGGTGAAAAAAGAATTTTTAAAATTTAATTTTTTTAAAATTTTCTAAATTATTTATTTAATTTTCAAAATTTTCATATATTTATTATTTTTAATATTTTTTTTTCTTCGAATCTCTAAAATCTTAATTTTTATGAATTTTATTTTAAAGAATATTTTATAAAAATAAAAAATATTTGGTTTTAGAAAAAACGTCGTTTGATGATTTTACGACCAACAACAAATCCGTTAAACACTAAAAAAACTAAAACTACCACTTTTCATGTGAGATATTCGAGTCAAGATCATTCTACAAGGTTAATGCTGAACTGATATGATTATTTTTTATTTATTTAATCTTCTTCTCCTTATCAGCACTTATCATTACTGGCTAAGCTGATTAATTTGATTTTTTCAAATTTTTTCTTCAGAAAGTGAAGCATTTCTTAGGAAAGCCTTTCGATTTATTTCTATGCCATATTTTAAAATAATAGAAGATTGTTAAATAGAATATTGCTAATTAGCCATAATTTGCGACTTTTATATTTTTTAAAATATTTTTTTTAAATAATCAAATAAATTTATAGAACAGAAAATTCATTAATGAGAAGTTTTACGGAAAAAAAGCTAACTGCACTAATGGTTGCGATTTGCTTGATTTTTATGATAGGTAATTTACCGCAAACATTCGTTATGGTTTTACAAAATGAAGCACGAGAAACGAATTATGAATTTCAGGTCAATTAATTTTTTCATTTTTTTTTCTTTTTAAATATTTATTTTATTATTTCATAATTTTTTTTTGCATTTCGTTAAATTCAAATAAATTTAAAAAAGTTCAATCCGAAAAAAAATTTTAAAAGTTGGAGAAAATTTTGAAAATTGAAAAATTCTTCCTAAATTCAAATATTTCGAGAATTATTTTTTAATTCGACAACGAAGAATGGTTTTCCTAAATGATATAAATTAAAAAAAAAAATTTGACTTCTAATAATTTTAAAAATTCTAAAAATAGAAAAATTCTTGTTTTTTTTAGAAAGTTTATTTTTAAAAATTTTAAATTAATTATATCAACTTTATTAAATAATTAAAATTTATTAAATATGAATATTTTTTGATAAAGTTTGCGTTGATAAGGGATGATTGTGAAAGAGCTCTAATTTTTATTTTTGATGAAGGCGTCTTACACTGGCGAGTGAGGAATTTTTCTGGAATTTATGGGGACGGCTCGTTTCATTCTTCGTTTCATTCATAAGTGATTAATAAAAATAAAATAGAAAAAATTTTTTTTACAGTTTATTCGAAATATTGCGAATTTATTCGAAGTTCTCAATCATTGCTTGAATTTTTATGTTTTTTGTATGGCAAGCAGTGAATATATGAGAGCATTTATAACAAAATGCATGTGCCTTCATGGAATTTTTTCTCATATTACATGGTATAAACGATCCATAAATTTTCCAGAAAACAACAAGTAATTTTCATATTATAACGAAAATCTTTCATATTTCATCGAATAGTTTGTTAGCAAATATTTTTTTGAAATAAGGAATAATTTTATAGAAAATTTTCTCATTAAAACGAAATGGAAATTTGCGTGTTTGTCTTGAATATAACTGATTAAAAAAACATTTCATATATATTTCATATATAAAAGCTCTCACCACTTCTGATTAGATCCGCTCTACTAACTTATCAGATAAGACAAATTTTATCACTTGACGATTAGAAATACAAGCGATTTACTAGCATCACCTGGATTTTTGAAATACTCTTGCGGGAGAACCAAAACATTGGTACCTCAAAATAAAATTGGATTTGGAATCTTATTGACCCTTATTACATTTAACATATTTATTTCATACCTTATTATACAATATTGTTTAATTAAAAAATTTATCATAGAATCATAGAATTTTGAAGCAAACTTATGTATTTATAGCTCTAATCGCTTATCAATAAAACGAAAACATGCTGAATCGGAGAAAATTTTTGACGCAGAATTAAGGCCGAAATCAACTAATCAATTAATCACTTATATGCATAATCACAATTCTGATCACAAATCTGATGCAGTTTACAGACCGAATAACAATAGTAATAATGATGAGGAAAATATTTTAATACCTTGTCAAATTATCGAGGAGAGTGTTGGAAGCGATACGTCTGATTATATGTTATTATAGTCAAAAATTTAGTGGCTTTTTTTTTGACAACTGAAAATACCCAACCTAAAATCACTTTTTTTCCTGTCATTTACTTTAGAAGTTCTTATTTCAAGCAGTGACAATACTGCAATTGATTATAATACAGGATAAATTGACTTGACTAACCGATAATATTCCTCGTTAAGGATCCATTGTCTTCTATAATTGATAATTGAAATTTCTAATTCGAGTTATTTGATGTATATATTATTTATATGCAAGATTTATTACTGGTTTTCTTGTTTGATTTCAATTATAAATGCCCTTTGACCTCGATTTCTATATCTTCAAATGTATATATTATCATATATCAGAAGAATTTTTTTTTTTTTTTAATTCAAATAATCAAAAAAGATTAATAAAAGATAAAAATTAAAATAAATGTTACTTTAAAAACAAATTGAAAATCAACAGCATTAAGAGTATTTTCTATTTTATTAACGACTACAAGGAAAAAATGAAATAAAAATTAGTATGAAAAATTATTATTATTATTATTATTATTATTATTATTATTAAAAGAATTATTTTTTTCTTCCTCTAATATTATTAATGTACTAATTTCGTTGGGCGAAAAAAAGAAAGCGTTTTCAAGCCGCTCGATTCGATGCCATAATATTATTTGATTGAGCGAATCAACTAAACAACTTTTTAAGAAACTAATAAAAGAATTGCGGGATAGGACGGTTGTTGCTTAATTGGGGATGTTGAGGTTCGATTCCCCGCAGGAGTAAGCCTTTTACAAAAAGCCGGGTGATGCTTGTCACTCACCTGTATTTCTAACACCAAGAAACTCCTTGGCATAATGCCCAATGCGACAAACCAGTGGAACGAGTTAAACCAGTAATGGTGAGGACTTTTTTAAAAAAAGAAAAGAATTTTAAAAAAATTAATTTTAAAAAAACTTTATGAACAAAAATATAAGTGTAAATAAAATAATAAAAAAACTAAATAAATATAAATAACTAAATAAATATAAATAAATAACTAACTAAATAAATATAAATAACCAACTAAAAGATTGTGATTTTTATTCGCTCTATAATATTTTAAGCATATAATTCATAAATCATAATCTGAACGTGAAATTCAAGAAATTTGAATTGGAATGAAGGATGTTTTCCGGAAATCACCTGTCGAAAATACAATCATACATTTAACTAATTATTTCTGTATGAATTAATAATACTCAGATATTAGGGCATTTGAAACGGCGATGCTGATGTTCTATTCTCCGCGGCAGTAAACCTGCCCGGAAATCCAGGTGCTGCTGGCGATTAATCTATACTTCTATCGCCAACTCTCAAGCATATTTATCCAATTCGATAAGCCAGTGAAGCGAGTTTAACTAGTAATGGTGATAACTCTTAAAAAAATCCTCGCACCGACTAAACCATTCATTAAATTCTGCAATTCATTAAAATCGAGAAAAAACCGCTTCTGAAAATTTTGAAAATCTGAAAATTTTAAAAAATTATGTAAATTTGCTCAATGAATGAAAAAAATATTAATTGAGCTTAAATTAAACTTAATAAATTTTAATAAACAGCCTAAGCCTAAGTCTAATATTTAATTAAAATAAATAAAAGTTACAATAAATAAATAAATAAAAATTACAATAAATAGACAAACAAGCGCTTATGTCGCTTAAATTTGAGAACTCCTGGGAAGGTCTGAGAAAAGGTACTACATTGTGTAAATCTCCTAGCAGGAGAGTGGCGTAAAGGTTCGTACTAGAAAAAAAGATTCGGCACACTTCATATGTGATTAATGCATGAGGGTTTCACTGGTATCAGACGTGCATATATGAAATGTTGGAAGGAGATCCTCGTACCGGCTTTGCTTAGTGCAATAACCATGCAAACACAATTCAGACTACTCTCTCACCAGGTTAAATTAAATATAGAAAATTTACAAAAAATTAATATTTGAAAATAAAAAATAACCTATAAATATTTGAAAAATAAAAGTAGGGAAGTCTTTCCTCGTTAGCCTTTTTCCTTTAATCCTCCATTTTCCGATAACTGCTTCTATCGCATTTAAAAACTCCTCGAAATATGGAGATTTGCACTGCGCAACCAGTTCAAACTTTAGTCATTTACAAATCTCTTGAATGGACTCTATTTGGAGCCATATTTTGTGAATGAAAACTATTTCCTCTCACCCGCGCATATAAATCACCTACATCCGATCCCTACTCACAAATCTCGATGGAATCAGGTTTCCCAAATGAGTCCTTCAAATTCAGGTTCCATGCAAAAAAAAGCTGCCGCGCTGACATTTAGAATTCGATATTTAAATATATTTGCGGGAAAATCGGTTCGTTTATTTAAAAAATGTGCGGAGTTTTTTTTAATGGTACCTATCGTCTCTTGTCAGGTTTGCTTCATTGGCTATTGAAATGAGGACCTTTCGCCAGGAAGCCGATTGAAGACAGTGCCAATATTATTTTTGTTTTTATTATTTTAAGACAATTCACCATTAGATTTTCTCTGCTGGCTCGTTGATCTAGGCAGATTTTTCCAAGGGATCTTTTGGCGGACTGCAGATGAACAAGCAGCATCACCTGGATTTTTGGATAGGTTTATTCCTGTGGGGAGTAGAATCTCAATATCGGCGCTCCGAACTGAGTAAAATTTCCAGGAATTACCAATTATTTTGACATTTTATCCGAGAAATTGGATTCCATGAAAATGGATTATTGATTTGATTTCAGATATTTATAATATTTCGGTTGAAAATATTTCTTTTTTTATTCAAAGAATGTTTCGATGTTCAGAAGAAGTTACCAGGAAATTTTTAAACGATATAAAATGTGATAAATGGTTTGTTTGTTTTTTTTAAGGTTCCTTTTTTAGTTCCATCGGCTCCACTTTCGAACCAAGCAAAATTTTACTAAAGGATTATTAAGTGGTAAAAATGCAGCTATGTCGCTAGTACAACTCAAAATTTTTGAAATATTTTTATTGCCGAGAGTGGAAGTTCAATATCGAAGCTGAGAATTGAGAATAACAATCCACTGAGCCATTCTACGCATTAATTTATAAATTATGCACCATAATTGCTTAATTTATTATTTATTATTTAATTTATTATTCATTCATTTTATAAAATTAATAAATTTCTCTTATGGAGCATAATTCTATAAAATTTTATTACAAAATAATTATAATTATAATATTATAAAATAATTATAAAATAATTATAATTTGTTACAATATTATAATTTTATATTTTATTATATTGAATATATTATTATATTATTATTATAAATAAATTAAATAAATTATAAATCAAATCAATTAAATTATATAAATAATATATATTTTTTAAATTTAATTGCCTTTTTATTTTTCAAAGCGTCTTACCCTTGTAGCCGTTGGAATCAGCCTAATCAGTAATGGAGAGAGCTGTTAGAAGAATTTTACAAAACTTAGAAAGTTCGGCTCTAGACCTGGACTAATATGGTTAGAAATTTTGAATGTATAAGTGGACCAGCAATATATGGACTTAGACGATGAAAAATGGAATGTCTTCTATTATTGTCGACGATGGCATCAAACTGCGCCGCTTGGATGTCTTACCCTTGTAGCCGTTGGAACCAGCTTAACCAGTAATGGTGAGAGCTGTTGGAAGAAGAAAATTTTATATTCAATTTCCATAATTTTATATTTCTTATTTTTATATTTTTACAAATTCAAATTAAAATTTTCTTAAAAATTTATTTATTTAATTTCAATTTTTTTTATTTAAATATGTTTTGATTTTTTTTAATTTTTAATTTAATTTTAATTTCATTTAGTTCATTTTATTAGTTTTCAGTTCGCGCCACACAGATTGCCTTTATTTTATTGGAACATCTTGCAAACATGTTTTTTGCTCGTTTGTCTTTAAACTTATTACGTTTAAATTTATTATTTCATTACTAAATTTTTGACTCCTTAATTTTTTTTTCTTTTTAGATTAGAAAGTATCACAAAAGATTCGATTCTACTGATGTAAATTCGAGTCACAACTTAGACTATTAAATTATGTGTTTAAGCATTTTTCAAAACTTAAAAGGAAATTCCTGAAAATACTTTATTTTTTAAGTTAATTAATTTAATAAGGGCTTAAACAAATGAGAATGAAACAAATTCAAAAATAGGAATAAAAGATTCCAAAAAAAAACTTGTTGAGATATAAATTTTCAGCAATTTTTATATTTTAATATTTTAATATATATTTTTATATTTCAACAATTTAATAATTTTTTTAAATTATGGTATGTAATTTTAATAATATAATTTGATTTTTGCTAATTTTTATATTTCTATTTTTAGTGATTGTAAAGAATTAATTTTAAACGGGCGTGATATTGCTTTATGTGTAATATGCAGAATACCTGTTGATAACAAATCTGTTACCAATGCGAGACTTTTCACTGATCTATCCCATTCTCTTAACGAATTATTATCAAGTTTTAAATATGTATGTTTCTATTTTTCTCGTTATAATTGAAGAAAATAACTGTAGCTTTTAACTTTTATTTCTTTTAAAATATTCAACTTGTTTTTGATATGGAAGGATAGCTCAGTGGGTTGTTGCTAAATTTGGAGCGCTGGTAGTGAGGTTTGATTCCCCGCACCAGTAAACATGTATAAAAATCCGGGTAATGCTGACGACTCACCTGTATTTCTATCGCCAAGGAACTTCCTGGCATATTGCCCAATGGGACAAGCCAGCGGAACGAGTTTAACCAGTAGTGACGAGGACTATTAAAAAAAATTTTTTTAATATGAAGCTTAGAAATTTAAATTTAATAAAATCAAATTTTTTTTAATTTTTTCAATATAAAATTATTTCTGGAATTGTTTATGGTTATAATTTTTATAATTTAATACTTTTCTATTCATAAAATTTATAGCAAAAAATTTCAAAATTTTTTTCTCTTTTTAGCTAGATGCATGGTCTTTTCAAAATGATGAAGTAAGAAAATTACTTGAAGACAAGGATCATAGAACGATCGAAGAATTTTGTGCTACACAAGAACAAGAATTCAAGGCAGAAACATTGGTTGATAAGAATGATAAACGCGAACAATAATAGTGGTAACAGTGAGTCATACTTATTGTTTAATCTAGTTTATTCTAGAATAACATTTTCGAAAAAATTTATTTTATGAAAGTAAAAAGTTATAATTTTAATATTAAAAAAATTTCTGGATCATTATTGTCTTCCGTTTTCGGATAATAGTAGCATCGCAAAAATTAGTATTACTGTAGAATTTTTGTCTTTTGTTTGAAATCCAATCCTATTTTGTCTGTTTTCATCCAAAATCCAGTTTCAATTCAGAATTAGCAATCAATTAGTTCTTAGTTCATTTTTATGGTAATATATTATTGTTTCTATTCGTCTTTTGAACATTATTTTGAACATTATTTTTCAAAAAATAAGTGCTGCACCTTTGCTTTAAACTTTCCTGAAATAAATATTTATATTTAATCTTGAAAATTCCAACAAGTAGAAAAATTATACTTAATATTTGTTTATTTTTAATTTATAGAATTTTAGAATAAAATTCATAAAATTTTTATCGTAGCATAAAATTTATAAAATTAAAATTTTTGAAAATGAAATAATTCACGGAAATTTCATCGTAAAATTCGAGTCCGGCGTATCCAAAAATACCGACAAGTAGAATGACGAATGATATATTAAGAAATTGAGCAATATTGCTGAATCTGGAAAGCATAAGGCCTGAGGCGAAACCGAGAGACTCCCAAAAGCGATAAATTGCAAATGCTGCCTCCAAATTTTTTCCCGATAGTACTATCCAATAGCCGAAAAATTTTAAATATTTTCAGGATTTAGATTTATTTCTATGTTTTCAATCTTATTATTTAAAGCCAAGCGAATGCTTCTATTTTTGTCCTTTGATGGCACAAAAGTGTCATTAAAATTGCTTGTATTTTTATATTCAAATGCCTCTTTGGCCAGAGATTCTCATTTTAATAAAAAAAGCGAAATTTTTAATATCTAAAAAATTTATAAATTTATAAAAATCACCATTAATTTGCGTATTCCAAACTCCATCAGCCATTCCCCATACACCAGCAATGGCATAAAATAACGCCGTATCGCCGGGATTTAATGGCCATATCTTCAAGAAATTATTTATTATATTTTTAAATAATAAAAATAAATATTGGTGAAGTTTCGCATTGAAACCAATTTTTTTTTTTTGCATTTTACGATCTTATCACAAATCGCAATTTTTTGTTGAGCTATTCCCTAAATTTTTATATTCATTTTGGTTTTTTGCAATAAAAACTATTTGTTTTGAACGTAAATTAAATATTTTCCTTAATTCTTAACTGATTAATTAAAATTTGAATTAAGTAAATTTGAAAATTTGAAATTTAAAATCATTTGAAACGAATTAAAATTATTCATTTTTTCCGGTATCGAATTGATAAAAATTGCGATAATTAAGCATAAATTTTTAAAAATTTCTTTTATTAGAATAAATTCATAAATTGATAAATTTTGATAAATTAAAAAAAAAAAATTTGTAAGTTTTTCTCAGAATTATAATATTTTTAATTAACGAAATATTTTTTTAAAAAGCTAAAAGTTTTATAAAAATATATCAAGAAAAAAGGACTAACAAGTAATGTCATAATAGTTAACATATTTATAACTGCACCAAAGACGAATAAAGGCATACGACCGAATAATTTCATAAGTGGTCCAAAAACAAGACTGCAAATTGCATCAGCAACTCCAAAAGATGTCATAACGAAGCCAATTTGGCTAATTCCGAGGCCACAAGCAACATATGCCTTAAATTAAATAAATTGAATTAAAAAATAGAGATTAACTGGATATTTAGAAATTGAATTTAATAAAAAATACAAAAAAATTTTTATTGGTTAATTTGCATAGAAATATCTAAAGTTATTGTTGGATTTAGTTAATTCACCTTAGTAGACGATAAACAAAGTCTTCATTTTTGCACATTCAAAAGTACGAATTATTATTTTGTATAATTTTTGAGATGAAGAATGCCTTCTCTTTATAATGCCGTGTAATATTATTGGTGCTTAAACGGATTCCATTTGGTTACAACGGTGTATGCGATGTACCCAAGTCATTTGGTTATAATGGTAATGGTGTGCGGTGTGGCCAAGTCGATGCTGAATTAATGCGAGAATTTACCTTCGTAAATAAACCAACAATGAATGCTTGTTCAATTCCATTAAAAATTGTTAATGGTACTAATAAAAGTGGTTTCGGTTTCGTCAGATTCCTGAGCATCGTTGTCATAATTTCAAATGAAAATAGTGGTGCTTTTTTTCTGAAAAATTATGATTGATTTATTTAATGCAATATTATAATCTAAACATAACTTTCTTTAAAAATATGATGGATTATGGCTTTCATTTCAGAACGCCAAGCTAGAAGAAGTAAATCTCCTTCAAAAATTCGGGTGATTCAGGCAATACGTGTATTTCGATTTTTAAATAATTCCATGGCAAAAATTTACCTGATCGGATAAGTCAACAGAGGTATTCTAATGATTGGTATCGTTAGCATGGATATACGATGATAAAGATCACCAAAATTGATAAAATTAATAATAAATTAATGATTGATAAAAAAACCAACTTTTCAATAAAATTGTAAATATTTGATGAATATTAAATTTTTATTAATTTTATCAATTTATCCGATGATTCATTTTCATAATTTTAGACTCATTTGAGAATTAAGGAAATTTCTAAATTGATAACTGATAACCTTTCTTCTTCGTCTTTCCTGAGTGAATTTAAAAATGACATGATGATCATTAACGCAATTACCGTACAACAAAAATAAACACCGCATACTGAAAGATATATATGTGATGGTAGTTGGCGAAGATTCTTTGCTGCTTGTTCGCTGAGTAAAGATAAATTTTCTTGAAACAAATATCCACAACTGAATTTATCAATTAAAAATTCGATTTTCCTCATTTAATAAAATTATGCAAATCTATTATAAGAATCGAACTAAATAATTGCTTAAATAATTTTGATAATTTGAAAATAACTGATAAAAATGCTTCAATCTATATTAGTAATATTTGGAATTAGAAATGCAAAATATTAGGCCATACGTCTTTTCTACTCTATCTTCGGGTTTATTATAACCAAGGCCAGTCGTTAAGATAAGAGATGATAAAATATTGCCAATAACTTGGCCAAGATGTAAAACCATAAAAAAATATCCGAAAAATCTGGAAAAAAAATGCGATTTAAGTAGGGAACCTTGACTAATTTGAAGTTCCATTATTTCATATATGAAGATGGAAAAAAATGCTGAATCTCTTCATCTTGATCGAGGTTTATTTATTTTTGCATTTATTGAATTTTAAATTTAGAACTTTTTTTTTTCTTCTTTCGCGAATTTTTAAAATAAATAAATATTTTAAATTATTTAATTATAATTATTTAATGTTAAATTTAAATATTACTATATATATTATTTACCATAAAATTTAGATTAACCTAACGATTACAACATTTGGAGCCTCAATATTAAGTGCTGCATATTTTGTGGCTGTTTCTAAAATATAAGCGCATTTCGCTGCCCATAAACAACTTCCAGCTGCTCCGGTTAGTATAGCAGCAGGCACAAGTGAATAATATCTGTAATAAAAATTTTCTTACACAATTCATAATCTCATTTTGCAAATATAGTTGAACGGTTGACTTTTTTTTTTTTTTAGAAATGTTCGGTGTTCTGCAATAAATCGTAAAACGTGTTTAATTTAGCGTTAAAAAGATTTCTGGAAATCCGGAATTTTCCACATTTTTAGAAAAATTTCGAAAAGTTGCAAAAGTTTATTCGATAAAATTAAGTTGAAGAAAATATAATATAAATGGAAATGATTAGTGTTAATTTTTAGTGTTAAAATGAAATTACGAGGCGAATTTCATATTTTCGATTATCCATGGTTTTAAGTGATGAATGAATGAATTGGCTTAAAACGAGTTATTCTGATAAGACTAGCAAATCCATCTTCAGATCGCCGACAAATTCATTCTAATCTTTATTTCGTTGATTTATATTTGTAATTTAAAAAATTAATTTTAAATTAATAATTCTAATTTTTGTAAAACAAAAAAATTTTTGTAAAAATTATTGTAAAAAAAATCTCTTCGAATAAAATTAATATATATATATATAATATAATATTATTATATATTTTAAAAAATTAATTTTTGTAAAAAAAAAATTATTGTAAAAATTGTTGTAAAAAAAATCTCTTCGAATAAAATTAATATATATATATATATATATTCATTAATATATATATATTAATATTATTAATGAAAAAAAATTCAATAATCAAAATTTCAAATTGAAATTTGAATTGGAGAAAAAAAAAACTAACTTAGGTAAAAAATTTGAAAGCATATAAATCATATATATTCCAGCAGATGTTATTAAAGTCATTTTACATCCAAGACGATTCAACATGAACGTTGGAACAAATAGCGACGATATAGAAACACTTATATAAAATACGCTGCAAATTTTTTAAGTTTTGGAGGAATATAGCTCGGAAAATAATAAATAAATGGAATAAATAAATCTCTATTTTGTATTACACCATTCCTCTTTTCATAAAAAAAAATGAATATTTTTATTCGAAAACTAATTTAAAAAAGTAAAATCTTAAATAATAATATTATAATGATAATAATACTATCACCTTACCTTAAATGATCGGAGCCTAATCGTCCATTAATCGACGTTTGTAAATTTTGTAGGCCATGAAAAGCAGTGAATAGAAATAAAAATGCAAGGCTTATTATCCATAAATTTACTTTAATTTTATGTCTCGTTTTATCTTTTCTAAATTTCTCCATTCCAGTAAGTAATGCACGTTTATGTTTTCGTAGTACTTTTGCTGCGTAAGCTTGACTAAAACAATGAATGATTTTATCATTTCCAATTTGTAATCTAAATATTTTTATGAAAATCTTTTATAACATATAATAGATCGTAGGTACTGTATTTCAATTTTTCCTTATCAATTTTATCATTTTGAAATAAAATTTAAAGACAGCAAAAATTACCTATAGAGCATAGTGATTGCATCGTTAGAAATATCGACTTGATCAATGCTTGCTAAGTGAAATTCTTCTAAATTATGCATGTGCAAACGCCGGTTGACTCGTCTTCTCGATCCATGTACGGGGCAATACGGATCATAGACATATATCCTTTGAGCATTATCACTAGCAATTGGTGGAACGTCCAAGAAAGAATCACCACGAAATAAATACGCGCTAGAAAAAAAAAATGAATATTTCCAAATTTTACTATATTTTTCAAATTATTGATAAGCCTAAACAATAATTAAACAATAATTAAGCAAACACGAACCGTTACTAACCATTTTTCTTGAGTATTTGTACCAGTAAATCCGTATAAATCAGGCACATTGAGTATTGCAGATTTATCGTAATTGTACATAATTGGTTCTTTGCAAATAGATTTTAAGTTAATCCACTGAAGTTCTCGAACCGGTTTAAGTTGTATTGTGCAAATATCTGAGTTTTTTGGAAGGATACCGACCTTTGCTAAGAATAATCGTCCCACTTTTCGAAGCGAATCAACTGCGGGTGATCTACTCGTGTAAATTATAATTATATATAAATTTAATATAAAATAAGATTAAATTCGCAAAAAAAACCAATTTCTTGCAATTTTCTTAAATAGGTTGATAAATTTTTAAGCATACGAAATCGCATACTTGCTTCTTCGATTTGCTTTTTCTGATTTATATATTGCTGAGATCTCTTCGGGTGAAAAATCGGCGAGATCTCCCATCGCTATACTACTGTTTCCCTAAAATTTAAAAGCATTTAATAAGTTTTTCTATCATTTTTGAATAATTTTTATTTAAGAAAAATGAGATTCAAAACGTACATCATTTTCAGCAATCGTTGAACTCGAATTACTTTGTGGTTTGTCCTTAACAAGATCCCAAGTGTTATCGCACATTTTTTGAAATAGATTAATAACTTCGATCCAGGAAATTCAATTTGACTAAATTCTTTTGCGAATTCATTTAATTTTATCAAAATTGAAATTGAAAGAAGTTTAAATTTAAAAATTTTTTTCATTGCCCTATTTATATTAAAAGGATATTGAGCAATGCAATAGCCATAAGTTTATATTAATGATAGTAGTAATAATGATTAGAATCAAGTGATAAGAACTGAAATTAAAAAAACTAATAAGTAATACGAGTTAAAAAGTACGTTACATTACCTTAAATGATCCAAGCCTAATTGTCCATTAATCTTTTATACTTTTCTTTATTCTTATAGGCCTAGTGAATTGTATTTTGGCTGAATGATGAGCAACTTTTTTAATAATTAATATTATGAACGAAAAAATTATGACGCATTCCATTTCAATCATTTTTATAAATATATTTCATATTTTAGACTTCTTCCCAATATTTTAAATAATATTCAAATTTAAAGAAAGCATAGAATTATAATTTATAATTTGGTAATTTACAAAATTTGATATAATTCATATAAAAATTGTTAATTTGTATAAAAATAAAATAATTGTTAATTATTTGTTTAAAAATAAAATAAATTTAAATAAAAAATAAAAATTTAAAAAAATAAAAAAAATTATCAATAGCTAATGTGAATTTCAAAAATTTATCACTGAAAAAAGAGGGAGATGTCGTGTTTTCGACATGGTATGGCCGTAAGCATGCGCGTTGTAGCCGTTGGAGCTATGTTATGAATAACATTGAGAAAGATTTCTCTGAAAAATCGTCCAGTATCACAGCAATGATTAAGTTTATCAATTATCACAAAAACTTTAAGTGAAGATGAACGAGGCAGTACTAAAAATTAACGGATCACCATCAAATGCTGAAGAATATTATCATATTACACAATAAAAATATAGAACATTTGTTCAAGAGGCGATTGTTCTAAAGGCTTTATTGATATTGTAAAATTTTGTTTGAATATTCATAGAATATTTATTTATTTATAAAAAAAAGGATCAAGAAGGGCATATCGACTACAATCGACTACAATCTACTACATTAGTTCCATAAGCTTAAGCAGTTCCAATCAAATGAAAATCGGAACTAACTCCACAAATGATAAAATCGTTGTTCCTTCTCTTGATGACCAAATTTTTGCAAATTTTTGCAATTCAGTATTATGTGGAACTCTCATCTCTTCCATAGAATCAATGAGTGTAGAATAAATGCTCTTAGTTAATTTAGAATAAATACTCAATTGTGCCAATAACAAAATATGAACGCATTTCAAAATCAAAACCTTTTTTTTTATTATCATTTATTATAATTTTTTTGTTATTGACTAATATTATTAACTAATTTTTATTAATCATATTTATTAATTATTTTATTAAATGCGATTTCATTAAGAGTGTTCATTAAAAACTCGGATTTGGAGAAAAGTGAAGTTCAGTTTTGAACAATAATTTCAATTCATTGTGCTTGGCTCAGACTTGGCTCATATAATAATACCAAATATGATTTACAGAGAATGTTCATTAGCTGAATAAATCGTTTGTTTCCATCTAATGGACTGAAAATGAATAAATTTGTAAGAAAATTGCTTTTAAACTTTAAAAAACCTAAGTGCAATTTTTAAGCTCAGTTTGTGGTTGCAAGAAAAGAGAGCTGATTCGCAGAATGGCTCGAAATTTACAATCAACGGATTTGAATTTTTTGCGACACTTCCTAATTTCAGAGGTAAAACTTAATTGATTTTAAAATTAATCAAAATATAAATAGAAAATAATATAAGAAAAAATAAAATACAACGTAATAAATTTAAAGACAAACGAGCAAAAAATATATTTGCAAAACGTTCTAATAAAACAAAAGGAATTCTAATAAATAAAAATGTAAATAAAAAATATAAATGATAAATAAAAAAAAATAAAAAAATTTTTAAAGATTAAATGAAAAAAAGTTTTTAAGGAAAATTTAGTTTGGAAAAAATATAAACGAAAGTAAATGAATGAAAAAATATAAAATAAAATAATTTAAATAAAATTTAAAATAAAAATTCTATAAATATTGTGGAAATTGAATATATTTGTTGGATATATTTTACAGAGTACATCGTAATTTATAAAATAAACTAATTAATTAATTAATTAATTAATTAAATGTTGGATAGCAAATTAAACAATTAAGATGCACAACTAATAATAAATTAATAAATAAAATGGATCAATGGATTGCTATTCCAATTTCGAAGCGCTGGAATTAGAGTTCTGCTCCCTAGAACGAATGAACATTTTTTCAAAAATCGGTATTCATATGAGATTCTCTCACAAAAGTTGGTAGAAGCAACCGAACAAATAATAAAGAATTATGAATTATGATAAAGAAAGGAGAAAAGAAAGCAGTGGTCGTCTGGCGCTTCTTCGTAAAGGCCATCAGAATCTGATTCCTGCTCTTTGAAGGAAGTAAATTTGCCATTTAAAGTTCTAGAAGCGATAAGGATGCGTCTTCAAGTGATCATATGGTGATCTCATCCATAGTGGAACCAATCATGAAATAGAAATGGCTTAAGAACTTCTTAAATTTAGACAAAATCGTTCTAAATCAAGATATATTTTATAGATGAATAGGCGATTAACAAAACTCAGTTTCTGTTGATTTTTGTTGATATCCTATAATTTGAAGAAGAAATATTTAATCATATTCCTCATCCATCTTACAAAACTTTTTCCAATGCCACTAATTTGATTATTATTTGTGACTTAGCTGGAATTGCATTATCTCACAAAATCGTTCATCCTCTTTATAGCCAAATCGTTCGTTTCAATAAATAAGGGACAGAAAATTATTTAATTTTTGTGGCTAATATTTAATTATAAATTTATTTAGATAATTTATTATGTAGCATAAAACAATACAATATGCATTATCATTGATATTTTAATGAATGAAATATAACGTATTTATTGATGGAAATTGATTTAAACAAAGCTTCATCCATCATTTTTTTTTTTTTAATTTAGTTAAGTTTATTTATTATTTAAAAATTATTATATAATATTGATTAAATACTACAATTATACTACGATTAAATAAGTTGAGAATTCTATTGCCACGCGTATGTTTTGAAATAAACGTCGCCATGTTGCTCGTTTGGAACGATTGTTGCTGTATTCAGATCGTCTTTTTGGCGCTCTTCATTATAAGAAATTTTCTTACATGAAAATTTTGAAAAGAATTTTCGATAACATTTACATTGTTGCATGAATAATACTGATACAATATCAATCTAAAAATACTATTTTTTGATTATAAAACATTCAAAGCGCTCGGCCACTTCTTCACTACAATGCTACAAGTTACTCCTCGAGATATCGTAAATAAAATAATTGAAGGACTCCAAAAATATTTTATACGGCGCCTCTCTCCTAATTGCAGTTTTAATTATAAAAGAAAACTTCTACAATATAGCCTGGATTCTCTGTCATTTCGTCGTATTAAACAAAATTTAATTTATACTTATAAGATTTTGTATGATCATGATTATGTTAAACTAGATTGTTCAAACTATTATAATTTTAGGTTGAATTTAAATCCAGCAAGAATTAATGGGCTAAAATTGCTAAAACCTATGTGTAAACTAAGGACTCATGATTCCTCTGTCCGTAATATTAATTATTGGAATAAACTATCGAACTTGTATGGCATCCTTAGCTAACTCTACTTTAAAATGAACAATTTAAAAAAAAATTAGATAATATCATTTATGATATTATTTAAAAAAGTTCATTCACATCATGCAGGAAGTGTGAAATCTCGATTTTTACCATCCAATTATAGTTATTTCGAATTGTACTATATTATATTATATTATTTTGTAATTTTTTCTTTATTTCTTTAAATTGTTTATTTTATTTTTGTCATTAATTCTCATTATTTGTTATTTTAACTGTCGTTATTAATACAGGTACATTGCGTTTGCGCCCTGCTTGGCTGGTTTTCAATAAATAAATAGAATCTTGTTGATAAGAATAAATTTAGCGTAAAGAAAACCCTATAAATCAGAAGTTCACATAAGGAGAACTGCTTTCACCCATCTATATTTTTATCACGAAGTGATTGCCTGGCAAAAAAAAAGATTATATATTTTACGATAAATAAATTTAAAATAAATAAAAATAAATTGAAAATATTGAAAATTACCTGCAACGAATAGATTATGCGATAAATAAATCTTATAATAATGTCTGCGTCATAATTTTCATGTTCAAGAAAAATAATTCTGATAAGCCCAGTGATTATCCACATTGTCG